AAACTATTTTATAAGTTCAAGTTTGAACACCTGACCCACAACTACCTAAACAATGAGCTAAATTGCCAGTTAACAAATATTTGATGGTATTCTTCAAAGTAACTTTACCCTAAAGATGCCTCTAATTTATTTAAAAAAATGTGCAGGACACCTAATGATAACTTATTCAAGAGCTCATGAAGTTTGATACAATGTAAATAAGTTTGATTTAGACTCCAGTCTCCCATACTGGGAAAGACAGTAGCAGTAGGTAATATAATTTAATTGCTATAATTAAGGTTAATGGTGTAATGCTTTCAGGCAAGTATTGTGGCAGTGGGTTAAACTGTTCCTTGGGGAACTTGCCTTCCATGTGGGTGACCTGGATGAAATTTCTGGCTCCTGGCTTCAGTATGGTACAGCACAAGTTACTGCAAGCATTAGGGAGATGACCCAGAAGATGGAAGCGCTCTCTCCTCTTTTTTACCCTCTTCTTCCCCTTCTCTCCTTTTCAAATAAAGATAGACTAAAATATACTATGAAATCTGGTTTCTCAAAAGCATTGAGTAACTAATGTTTGCCATAAAATTGCTGTGCTCTTTGTTTATAAGCTAATGAGAATGGACTAAGTCAAATTTAATTTTACATTGCTAGTAAGCAAATCTGGCTGTTATCCCTATCATCTTTCTAACTCTGGGAAAGTTTCTTAGGTATGTATTGATATTTATTTCTTTTCTGTAATGTGGGAGCAAGATATATTTCTGTAGGATTAAATGAAACAAAATTTATGCAGTACTGAGTGTAGCACTGAGCATACAGTAGTAGTAATATCTATTATTATCTCAAGAGATTGAAATGACTTTGTAGTTCTATGATCAACTAATCCAATAGATATTAATTGTCCTTAGTCCAGCCATTCATATGGAAGAAACAATTTGTTCTGAAGGAATCCAAACATTTACAATTATTGAGAAGTTCCATAAGAAAGAATGTAGTTTCTACTCAAGAAAAAAAGGGATTTGAAGGTGCAGAAAGTTGATGCAATTCAGGGCAGGTCTATTAGAGCAAAAGATGGAGAAAGCAAAGGAATAGATAACTGATGCTTCAATGACTCAGCTTGGAAGGCTATGCTGTTCTGGGAGTCTGATCTAACTTTTGAATGTACTAACTATCCAACCTTTTACTAAGACGAGCTCAGAGACATAGTAGACTAACTCCAGCCATATTAATATTGATCAGGGCTTTAATTTTCTTTCAGCCAAGCAAGTCACTTGTCAGCATTTTCCTGAGGAACTATTATTTCATGTGAAAGATATAAACCTCTGTGCTGTGTTTGCCATTTTGTGTTCATGTGGAAATATTATACTGAAGGGAAACTATTAAAATAGCATTGGAAATAAACACATTAAACACCAATGACAGTCTCAAGATGAATCACAGGCTGATAAATTCAAATACATGGTCCTTGTATCTGTCCTCAGAGGCAGCTGCCAGCTAATCCAACAAAGCTACTGTGAGAGACAATCTGTTGGCTTTCTAACACATCAGGCTCATTATTGTGAGCTACATATTAGCCTTTGGTGTTATGTGCATTTTTGGGGTAGGCTATTTATGAAAGCTAGGAAAAAGAATGACTAGAAAACCAGCCTTTGAGGTTACTCACATATTTTCAGTACTGATATCCTTGGATGGGAGATGATTAGAACTATCACAAGCCAGCCTAGGTAAAGAAAGGGCATCTTGGATAGTCATCCCATAATAGACTTGAATTTTCAAAACAGCAACTCAGTGTCTACAGAGCACAGTTGTAGAAATGTAATTATGATAGAGTCATACAGGAGAAGTGTAAATTGAATACACAACTATACAGAAGAATTTTGTAATTCTAGATAAAATTTCTCTCAAGTTTCTAAGCAAATTCTCAAAATCAAAAAGAGATAAATTAATATAGTGATGTAAGAAAGCATTTGGTTAATTATAGTTGTAGTTTTTTTTTTTACATTCTGTAGGTTCAAGCTGTTTAAAATATGTTTCCCAAGCACAAGTATATGAGAGTTTTTAAAAAACTGTATGGAAAATGGAACTAAAAGATTATTTTATTTTGGTGTAAAAACTTAAAAAAATCTTGCATAGATTATCATAATATGGATTTGCAGAAACTTTTTGAAAACCTTCCATATAATTATTTTATGATTTTTTAAACCAGGGAATTTTTGAAATGCTCCAGATTTGTCTCAAGTAATGAAGTTGGGCAGTTGAGAAAAGCTATTAAGTGTTTGGCAATCAGAAGCCTGTGGTCTATATCAAACTGCATCCAAATACTATCAATTCATCAACAGGGCTCAGTACTGTGATGACTTCAGCAGCTTAAATCTCTTTTGAATTGGAAAGAACATTTATATACTATTAGAAAACATCTCATATAGAAGGTATAACAGTCATACTGCCACAATTTTTTCTATGTTATGTTCTTCATTATTCAAGACTTATCAAAGATACTTGGGTGTGTATTTGGGACATTCAGAAGAATCAACTGTTACATATAAACATATATGGCACCATAAGAGGTTTTTAGCTAGATCTTCAAACTCTCACTTGGAGCAATCATCATGGACAGAGGAAAGAGATGTTACTGCTTTCTCATTTTGCTACAGTAAATTTGGTCAAGTACAGACAATACTAAGTTCACTGTATTATAAACAACACCATTTAGAATTTATATAGATATACTAATTTGGCCTAGAAAGAGTTCCAACAAGTTATCGAGTACAATCTGCAGTTTTCAAGAAGTGTTGTTGATTCTTCTGCATAGATTCATTATTATAATCTGTTCATTTGGGCTACACATCAAAGTGTTACATGAGTGTTTAATAAAAGACTGAAAATACAATTATCTCGACTTTAAGTATGACTTTAGCTTTTGTCTGAATGGGAGTTAATTATTTATTTATTTACAAAGTTTTCTTCCAAGACAACTAATTAACTAGAAGGAAAACATAAAAAACACCCTGTAAAGTTAATTAAACTGCAATTATACACAAACTATATTGCACTAAACTTATAAGGTCATTATAGATCGAAAGTAAGATTACAAGTAAGATTACAAGTAAGATTACAGGTAATATCAGTTTTAGAAACACATGTTATGTGAATACTCACAGAACCTGAGACAGGTATGGAAAGATTAAAGGACTGAGATGGGCTGATGTACCTATAGGTGAAAACAGCTATCAAAAGGCAACAGGCATCTGGGAAAGAGCTCTCCTTTTAGTTCGGAGGCTAGAAATACATTGCATTGCCTCTGGAATTGGAATGAAACCAAACTAATTGTACTTGGTCTTACAATCTGGAATAAAATATTTCTGCAGTCATCTATGAAGCGACCTTATCCTGCAGAAGTTGAGTGATTCTTGGCCGACCCGCTGTCTTGTGTATTGTTTTGATTGGGTCCCTTTTGGGACAGAAGGTACTTGTTGTGCAGTAGTTTCACTTCAGTTTACAGTCCTTCATAATGCTGCATGACCAGGGAATTCACAAGAAGAAAAAAACTCTCCATGGAAAAAAATAAAATTTCTTCATTAATATGCCTTGGGGCTACATGAAACTGAAAGGTTGGGAATTACCACCAACTTTCCTCTGTGTCTTAGAATGACAGCTTTCAAAGGGAAAGAGAACATATTTTTGGATGAGAGAAAGCTGGATAATAGGATTGCAGTAGTAAAGGCTACACAAGCATTTTTAAGGTTGATTTGACAATAGGATGCTAGGCTTTCTACTATTGTCTATACCTACAATGCCACGATACACTTAAATACCAGAATTTTGGATTTGTGACTATGTAGAAGGCCTATACCATTGTAATAATATGGGAGAAAAGAGTAGAGGGACATTCAGGGAGGGGGAAAGGAGAAATCCCTGTACCTATGAGACAGTATCATGAAAAATAAAAATAAATCAAAAAGATCAATTTAACTTAGAATTTCATCAGATTCACTATTATAATTCTAATGCCCAACACAGCCAAATCTCTACAAATTCTAGTTGAATGAACATTTTAAGCACATATACAAGAAATGATTTTTTGTTATTTGATATTTACTTCAGATGTCATGTCTTTCAAAGATATAATACTTACAACATACCAATATTTCACTCTCACTTTCCCTTCTATCTTTCCTCCCTTCTTATTTCATTTCTTTAAATTTTTGAATAACACAATTTGTAATGTGCTTTATAACCACAAGTTTGTTACTCCACTAATACAGTGTTTGGCAAGAAAAATCATAGAAAGACCGCTATTCCATAGGAATATAGCAAAGGGATACAAACAATAACCAATTAATAAGATGTCAATTTTACTTATTCATTCGGCTTTTTATACTGGAATCCATATGGATGGTATCTTAGTGAAACCACAGCCATTAGGGAGATGCAAAGACTTGCTACGTATTTGTATGCTACAATATAAAGGGATTCATATTTAAGAGCATAGAATATGTTGTTAGGTCTCAAGCTAGCAAAGCACAAACCACACTTGAAACATGCTGATTGATATGAACTATTGGAATTACATTGATACCTATTCCCATTGATCAAGAGCATAACCTCATGCTTTATTGCAAAGCAAAATGGCTATGTTTTTGATAGAGGCCAATGTTTCCCTAATTCAGGGAAACACTTAAGAAGCATATAGTTCAGGATAACTCACACTGAGTGTGTATTCTAGAGTCTGAGCACCAGGCCCCGACCTCAGTGCTACCACTCATGAATTGCAGAAGCTGCAACAACCTCTTTGTCTCTCTTTGTCTCAGTTTCCTCACCTGTAAAATGGAGGTAACAAAATACTTTCCTCATATCCCATGGTGAGGGTTAAATGAGTCAACACTTTAAAAGCATGAGTATGCCTAATCCTTAGAAATTCCTCCATGGGTATTAACTTTTAATATTTATCAAATGGTGTAATACAGGAAACAAAAGAATGCGGTGTCATAAATACAGATATCTGGGACTTTGATATTCACCTATAACACAGAAGGGTTTTCGGGCAAACCTTAGCCTTCCTTGCCATCCTCTATACCGACAACAGCAACCTGCAGACCAGATCCGAATGATGAATTCCAAACCAAAGACGACAATCATCACGAACTCCTGAAACACCAGAGAAGAGATGTCAGAGAGAAGCATTATAGAATGAACCATGGCAAGAAACTCTATACATATTTATGGATATATATGTATTACATCTGAAACTTCTAGTTGTTAATGTGTGAAGTTAAGGATATTCTCCAAGTGGGTCTAAACATGAACAACATCAGCATCTTACTTTGCCTGCATTTTATGTCATGGAATGTTATTCCTTTAAAGCTCACTAACACTTTGCAACTTTAGGAGTCAGTTTTAATAGCAAATGTGCAGGCTGAATAATGGTTGAAATAATGAGGGACATACCTATATGAAGCTTACAGAAAATGCTCACTTTGAAAAAATTATGCATGGGTTTCATTAATTTATCACATTCAAATAAATGTATCTCTCAGTTTCATTTTCCATGAACTTCTGAAGTGCCTTCATATTCATGAAGTAATTTCATATTAATGAAGTACTCTCATAGAGCATTCCCGACATTGAGTATTCTGTAATGTGAAATGTCTGAAATGTAAGAATAGAGCTGAAATAAAATGAGAAGTTTTATAGAAAACAGAGCTTCGTCTTGTTGCAAGGAGTGCTGTAGTCCTTAAGCCTTTAGGAGTTGTTCTCAGAGAAAAAGAAGTAAATATTTGGAAATATACTTAATTCTTCTGTTAGTATGGAAATTCCCTTTTAAAACACTGAGTTACAAAAGCATTACCGTGAGTGTGGCATATAGATCCTTTGTCAGAAATGAAACCTTGAATCCTACAGATCTGAAGCTTGTTAATTATAATGTTGCCCTTTGGCAAGAACTGTCTAGAAAAATAACACCTGCTCCAGCAAAATGACTCTGGGAGTATTTAGGAAGAGTTTCAAGTTAACCCCGGGGAAAGGCCAGCTAAAGTGGCTCATTAAACTGTTGGTCATAGAGTGAAAAACCAAATGGAATCTGTAAAAGGAAAAAGCAAGCTTAATACATTTAATGTGTTGTCTCCATAGGAATAAATACTTGCTTTTATCAACATTGGTTTTCCTCTAAATGATAATTCTTCTTGTGATAATAAAAGGCATTTTAATGTTAGTTTATGACAGAACATTTATTAATTGATTTTATAATTGTTGTTTCATTATTAAACTTCCCAACATCACAGAATACTTCCCATTCTTCTATTCCATTCCCAAGATGAGAACACTCACAAAATTTGTAAAAATAGCTTTGGGTTAATGTCTATTTTGTTAGATCACGTGATGAATGAATGCTGTAACTTTGAAAGGACAACTAGAGATTTGCCAATCTATCTTTCTGGTATTTTGACAAAAATATCCATAAAAACTTCTCATAATTGAATATAAATCTCTGATTTCATCACAGCTTACTTATAGTGACCTATCACTACTTCCAAGAGAGATATCCAAAGGGGACTTAATGTACAGATAACCAAAACTATGGTTATGTTATGAGACAAAGTAGGAAAATTCAAAATGTGGCCTAAACTTACAGGGGCTACCATACAAATATATATGTATGACCACAGTTCTTAAGTAAAATATGCCAAGGTTGCTCTACTATTGCTATGTTCAGTGAGTTAGGATAAATTACATCTATGTATTCTTTACTCAAGGTCTCTCTTTCTGTCTCTGTCTCTTTCACTCTCTCTTTAAAGGTTAGGGGAAAAAATTACAAGTTTCAAAATTCATAAAGGACCTGAAAACTCATGTTATGCTTGAGGGAAGAAATAGAAAAATCAAAAATTACATTTTAGAATTCCAGATTCCATCCCCCCAATACTGGAAAAGAATTGCTAAAAAGAAAATCATCAACTAGACAGAATATTTGAACAACATAATCAACATATATGATCTAACTGAGAAAAAACACATCTCATCCAACAGCAACAGGTTGCCCATTTTGTTTAAGCACTTATGGGAATTTAACAAGGTATCTTTGATCATAAACAAACTTCAACAATTTAAAAAAAAAGTGAAACCACACACACACACACACACACACACACACACACACACACACACAGTTTCCAGTAGCTGTTTCACTCCTCAAATGGGCACAGTGGCTATTGCTGGGCTAGGCTGAAGCTAAGAGTCAGAACCTATATCCAGGTCTCCCACTGGATGCAGAGTCCTAAGTGCTTGGTCTGTCCTCCATTGTTTTCTCAGGGGCATTCATAGGAAACTAGATCAGCAGTGTAGTAGCAATGACTCAAATGAGTGCCTATATAGGATGACAGCATAGCAGGCTTAACTCACTATGCCACAATGCCAACAATAGAGTGCTTTTTGGAACCACTGTAGAATCAAACTACAAATGAATAGCAGAAAGACAGAAAACCAACAAGCACATCTCTGAACATGTAGAGATCAAATGAAACACCCTTAAGCAAATCACTGATCAAAGAGAAAGTCTCAAAAGAAATTAAAAAATGCATAGAAATTAATGACAGTAAAAATATGACAGATCAAAATGTGAGGGAAATTCATAACACTAAATGTTTACATTGGAAATCAGAAGGTGGACTTTTGGCTCAGTGGATAGCTCAAGATGTGGGAAGCCTATGCCCATATCTGAATGCCTACATGTTAGTCCAGGCCCTGCCATCCACTTTAGTTTTCAGCTCTGCACATCTTGAGAGACAGCAAGTATTCAGGTTCCTGCCACCCACGTGGGAGACCTAGACAAGTTCCAGACTCTTGGTGCTTCTGCCTGGCCCTGCCCAAGCTTTTGAGTGCACTCCAATAGTAGACTGTTTATTATATGTAATTTTAAATACATATAACTATATATATGACACAGTTACTTATACTCTATATAGTTATATGTAGTACATATCCTCATTTCACAATATCAGGCAAGTCTCAAATTTATAATCTAAATCTCTAATTCAAAAACTCAGAAAAGAATAAAATAAACTGTAAAAAAGCAAAAAGGGCTTAATTTTTTAAATTTATTTTTTTTCTTGTTTAAGAAATTTATCAATACATTAATTCTCAGGATCATAGCAAATATATAGTACTTACTACAGTATGATTTTTATGTTAAGTGATATTATATGATTTTATTCCATGTAGTACGTAGTTACAATTCTTATGATAATACTCCCCTTCCTCTGTTTTTCCTATGCTTTCCTTCATTTTTAAAGGAGGAAATAATTTAGATAAGAGCCTATGTTAATTAATAGAAACCAGAAAAACAAGAGAAAAACATTCACAAAAATAATTTTAAAAAATCAATAAAATTGATAAACATCTTGCAAGCTGACAAAAATCACCAATATTAGGAATTAACAGAGGATATCATTACAGATACTGTGTTTACAAAAAAATAAGGAAATATAGTGACTAGTTTCATGTACAGAAATCTGAGAATTTATAAGAAATGGCCCAAATCTTGAAAATTATAAATGAACACAAGTCAAGCACACAATTGAGTAAACAGAATTGCTGTATAAATGCTTAAAAAATTGAATTCACAATTTAGATGTTCTTCCAAAAAGAAAATACCAGATTGGAGGTTTCCCTGACAAACTGAACCAAACATCTACTCTTTTTTTTAAGGGTTTATTTGTTTTTAATGGGAAGCCAGATTTACAGAGAGGACAGGCAGACAGATATTCCATCTGCTGGTTCACTCCTAAGGCTTTAGGTCATCCTCTACTGCCTTTTGACGCCACTAGCAGGGAGCTGGATGGGAAATGGAGCAGTGGGGATGTGAACTCATACCCACATAGAATCCTGGTGCATGCAAGGTGAGGAATTAGCCACTAGGCTAAAGTGCTAGACCCTACTTTTTTAAAAATGATTTTATTTTAGTTGAATGGCAGATACAGAGGGACAGATCTTTGATCTGCGGGTTCACTCACCAAATGTTGGTAACAGCTTAGAGTAGGCCAGGCTGAAACCTGGAGTCTGGAACCCAGATAGGGAGTTCCAATAGGGTTGTAGGGAACTGAAGCACTTGAAACATCATTGCCGTCTCCGAGAGAACACATTAAGAGCAATAATGTGGACTGGAAGATCAGTAGGTTGTGCTACAGCCAGATACTCTGATACAGGATTCAGCGTTCATGACTTTACAGTGCCACAGGCCCATCTGTCAGCCAAGCGCTGCCTGTGATTACAAAGCAAATTGAAAGTACGTTGTTTGTTCTGCACTGCAACTGTTGACATATGTCTTGTTAGAGTTATAAGCCAGATTAGACTATCCCAAAATCTACCAAGTTCAGCAAAATTAAGCTTTCAACAGTATAAACTGCTGAATGCTAAAATGAAAATAAACACAAGACAGCTGAATAGTACCCTATAGCCATTTTAAGGTGTATAGCAGCCGGTTCTGTGAATAAACCAAAACTGAAATGTCAATGAAGTAGTCAGAGGATGCGGTTAAGAACTTGCATTTTTAAAAACATATTGGTTACTCAATACCATGTCAATTAATTCCATAATATTGTAAATTGATGTTGATGTTATGTTGTGACTTTAAATTGGTAGGGATGATATTCTGCCAGCTCTGCTTTCAGACTAGAGATGGTCTCCCCAAGAAACTGTTGAATTTACCTGGACAATAAGATGCTGGACTCTATGCTTGCAATGAAGGAATCTTAATTGAACTTGAACTGTAATACTGCAACAAGGTGCAGGAATCCACCATTGGGGGAAGGGTATGGGGAGGGGTTGGGGGAATCCCAGAGCCTATAAAACTGTGTCACATAATGCAATGTAATCAATAAAAAATAATATAACAAAAAAACCACCACAAAGTACGTTGTTGCACAAATTAAAGAGGAAAAAATAAAGAAAGGAGGGATGATTAAGAGAGGGAGGGAGGAAAGTAGGATTATCTTCTTAATACTGTATCTATTAAATATGTGAGAACTGCTCTCTTGATATAATAAGTTTTTAAAAGAATTTTATTTTTATGTAACAAGTTTTTAATAGAATTTTTAACAAAATAAATAATTTTCTATAATAAATTTTAAAAATAATTTTTATAGAACAAATTGTAA